TTCCGGACCAAATAAGCGGGTAAATGAATAATGCGGGAGGCAATTAAGCGGAAACTACTGTACATACTTGTATTCCTAATAATAATCTATCTATGTATCTTCTATCTATGTATATATATATAAAAATGAATGTGTGTTTGTTTGTATGTTTATATGTTTGTATGTTTGAACGATATAGACTACTAAACGGCTGAACCAATAATAAATTTGTGGACTACCCTTGAGGGGAGCGGCACCTCCCATATTAATTAAAGACAAAAATTCGTTTATTTGGAAAACTAATGGAACTAAATTCTTCAAATTTTTCACGAAAAACTTAAATATTCATCTGAACATTTTGGAGGAAAAAAAGCGGACTTTCATCTGGGGGGTCTGAATCAAATAGAAAAATTCGTATATCTGAGAAACTATTGGAGCTAAAATCTTTAAATTTAACATGAAGAACTTTGAAATTCATGTGAACATTTAGAGCATAACGGGCGGACTTTCAATGGGGAACTTGGCACCTCCCATATGCATTAAATATAAAATTTCGTTTATCTGGGAAACTAATAGAACTTGATTTATAAAATTTTGCACAAATTAGTTTAGTATTCATCTGAACATTTCGGACTTTCATCTGGGGGGTCTGAATCAAATGGAAAAATACGTATATCTGAGAAACTATTAGAGCTAGAATCTTCAAATTTTATATGAAGAACTATAAAATTCATGTGAACATTTAGAGCATAACGGGCGGTGGCTTGGAACAACATATATGAATTAAACAAAAAATTATTTATAAATTTTTTTATAAATAATTAGAAATTGGCGATAGATAGAAACTGGCGAACTTGCAATAATTTGTATGACATCTCTCATATGTAACATATTATAAATCTGGAAAACTATTGTGGTAAGGATCTTCAAAATCGTTAAGTGGGATTTTTATTTATACATACTGGGTATAGCTAGTAATTAATAAAAACTAATAATTAAGAAAACTGTAACTTCATTTTAAAAATTAAAGATAAATGTCCTCGAAATTCGCTAAAAGTAATTTTCTGGACCAAAAACACTCTAAAAATGTTATGCAATTATTTTTTCCTGCAATAACTTAGCGAATTTTTGGAACTAATTTCGACGACATTTAAGAATTGTTTATCAAAATTTTACTGAGATAGCGGTGCGCCTTATACTATGCGCAACAAAGTTGTCCATATGAAGCTCTAACCTACAGTATGTTCGTCCGTCCATAAGAATCTTCTAATTAAACTAAACAATTTCTTAAGAATATTCAACGAAGTTTCATTTTAAAATCTATGAAATAAATGTGGAACTTATATCATCACAAAATTTGCAACTGTAATTTCTGAATGGGGATGAGTAAATTCATATTAGGGCATTAGGGTAGCTTAACAAGAAAGTGAAAAATATAACAAAATTTTCCTAAAAAAAATTCATAACATTTTACGTATAAAAATATCATAGACTATATGTAAAAATATGCTAAAAATATTCACGTAATACGTGAAATTTTTGAAAAATAAAATATTTGCCAAACGAAATTTAATATTTAAGAACACATTTTATTAAGAGAACTAAAAAAACATTTGTTAATATTTATTATCCGGTTTTATAAAATTCATCAAATTGTATGTACCCAGACTGCTATTGATGTTAGAAATGGAACTCAAAACTTCGCAGTCAAAAAGTCTGGAAACGTTAGAAGATAGATGAAAAGAAAAGTTAACAAGTCATTTTATGACGGTTTCATATACATATTTTATATACATACATACATATTAGTCCCGAGGAACAGCATTTTTAAGAATTTCATGTAGGAATACCATTCAATAGATGCGTATTAATGTACTGAACACGAGAAAAATAAATTTTTTTTTTTTTTGAATGGTCCTCAGTTCCCTACCAGCGATTGAAAATCCTGACCTCAGTATAATTTTTAAAAAATAAAATATTTTAGATTTTTTCGAAATGGGTCTCAAAAATTCCGTTACGTTGAGCTGATTACGGAAAAATAATTTTAAAATTTTTGTAGAATATTTTTGGTATATTATTTTCGCTTTTTATCGAAATGTCGTAACTTTAGCTCATACAGAAAAATATTTAAAAAATAGTTTCGCATTGTTGGTCTTTGTTTTAATTTATATGCCCTTTATAATACAATAAAAGTCGTTTGGGGACCAGAAATACACTTACAAAATTTTAATTGTTTTTCCCGCGATAAGCTAAAAATTACTGAATTTTTGACACCCAATTTCAAGATTATCAATTATAGATAGGGAACTGAGGACCATTTCAAAACAATTGTTTTTTATTTTTCTCGTATATCGTACATTGAAACTAGGGTATTCAATAATTCGGGGTTTTCACTTATTCGGTTTATTTGACAAATAATTATTTGAGATTTCATGTTAGCCGGTTAATAATCGGATAATTCAAAAATCGGATAATTCAAAAAATGTTTATACCCTACACCACTTTAGTGGGGAGGTTATATTGGGTTTGTGCTGATGTTTGTAACATACTAAAATATTCGTCCTATACCCACCTTAAAGTATACTAATCGGCAAAGAATCATTTTCTGAGTCGATTAAGCTATGTCCGTCCGTCTGACTGCCCATGTAAACCTTGTTCGCAAGGTACAGGTCGCAATTTTCAAGAAATTTGGCACACACACTTTTTTTGGCCCAAGGACGGGCCTCATTTGATCATAGCTCCCTTACAAAGGCCCCTTCAGAAAATTACTTGAATGTCCAAGATTAACTTATAAACACAAATATCGCGATGGAATTCAGCACAAATAAATATTATATAACAAGTAAAAAGTATAGTCGGACGTGACCGACCATATGATACCCTACACCAGTTATGCATATTAAATATGATTTATTTTTCATAATAAAGCATTTATCTTCAATATTACCTTGTTCCGATACATTTAAGCAATTTATGGATGAAAAACTAATTTTCTGAAAGACGCTTTATATGGGGGCTAGGGGCAAATATGGACCAAACCCGATAAAGTTTTGTGAATGTATTTATATTTATATAATATTTATTTGTGCTGAATTTCATCGCGATATTTGTGTTTATAAGTTAATTTTGGGCATTGAAGTAATTTTCTTAAGGAACTTTGTATGGGAACTAGGGTTAAATGAGGCCCGATCTTTATGGAATTTGGCGAGAACAGCAAGACTTGTATAGAACTTAGTTGTGCCCCTTTTTATCGATATACAGGTATATTTAACATAATTATGAGCTCAGAAGCCCTTTTCCGGGGGTTCTGTTGTATGGGGGCTAGGTGAAATAATGGACCGATTTTAACCATTTTCAATAGGCTTCGTCCTTGAGCCAAATTTTATCTTGAAAATTGCGACCTGTACCTTGCGCACAAGGTTTACATGGACAACCAGCCTGAAAACGATTCTAAGCCGATTGGTATACTTTAAGGTGTGTATAGAAGGAATATAAATATAAATATATCCAAAAAACTTTATCGGACTTGGTTCATACTTGCCCCTAGCCCCCCATATAAAGCCTCTTTCAGAAAATTAGTTTTTCATCCATAAATTGCGTACATGTATCGGAACAAGGTAATATTGAAGATAAATGCTTTATTATGAAAAATAAATCACATTTAATATTCATAACTGGTGTAGGGTATCATATGGTCGGTCACGCCCGACTATACTTTCTTATTTGTTTTTAATTAAGTTCTTTCTCAATTATTCAAAATTATTTCTTTTCATCTGTAATTCTTTCCTATATAAAGAAATTAAGTTAATTAATTTTATGTTTTTGAGATTTTTCAACGAGTTCCAGAAATCATACGTTCCATTGAATTAGTGTATAATTATTGCTAAAAAACTTATTAGAAATTGTTAAAAAACCGATTGTAGAAGTAAAGGGCATTTCCAAGATTGCTTTTCAAGAATCTGTTCTTTATGAACACATTCTAGAAGTAGGTAAATCAGAACAAATTCCTAAAATGTTTCTGAAGTATTTTTATTAAATCATCAACTAAATTTTCTTCATTATGGAAAAATATTAAAGAATTAATAGAGGAAGCAAATATATTATAAAAATATTGAATTTTGTATAAAATATACAGCAATTTTACTGTTACATAGTATTTTTTTCTTAATCGGTTAATTGATAGAAATTGTTCGGTTTATTCGTTATTTGGAATTTGGCAATTTGAATTTCTTCGAACGATTAATCGTCAAAAATTAATCGATTAACCGATCGACGATTAATCGTTTGAATACCCTAATTGAAACGCATCGTTGTAGAGGAATTCTTCCTAAAAAGTGGCCCACTGGACACCCTAATACACATATGTATGTATATATAAGTTAATATATCTACATACATATAAATAAACACACATATGTAGATGTGTATGTATAGTGATTTTGTTATGGGGGTGAACACATACAGATATACATACAACTATATGTACACGTACTGCGCACATATTCATACATTCATACATACATACATGCATACATGCACATACATACATACATACATACATACATACATACATACATACATACATACATACATACATACATACATACATACATACATACATACATACATACACATACATACATACATACATACATACATACATACATACATACATACATACATACATACATACATACATACATACATACATACATACATACATACATACATACATACATACATACATACATACATACATACATATGTATTAAAACCCATTACTATTGAAACATAACGTTGTCTACTTATAATTGTTTTTTTTTTTCATATACTTATTTTTTCTATAGAGATTGAAATTATAAATTTTAACACATCAAGTTAGTATGATATTTTATTTAGTTATCAGGACTTTTGTTATCTGCAAATCCATATTAGTCTGGCTTATATATAACAATTAATGTTCTTAGAATTTCCCTTCACTCTTTGGGTAACAGGGTTTTTCCCATTGCCATTGCACTTACAGCTGTTCTTCCTTGGATAATTTTAGTATCCTTTTTAACATAATAATTTGCACATAAACTATGTATGTATTATTAAATTATATTACATATATATATATATATATATATATTTAACACAATTTACTCTATACACGTTTAGAGAAGCATACATATAATGTATATTATTATTACTATTATTTTCTTTTCAAATTTACAATAGCACTTCAGATATTATTTGTTTTTAACATAATAAATAAATATTTATTAAGACACGTTATTTCTAGTATTTTATATATTCTTTCTCATGACTTTTTTCTTCCTTGAGTTCGTAAATTGCCAAAAACGCGTTTAAATCCACGTCGTAGTTGGTCGTTGTATTAATGCGGCATATTGCGACTGTTATGTTTACGGCATATACAACTGTTTTGTCAACTTGCCAAATACACGAGGATATTTCGCTAAATGCTACCAGACGATTTTTTCTTTGACATAATGGCCAGATGTAGTTGTGAATGTGTAAGTTAATATTTGAATATACCCACATGTTTATTAGAGTGGTATTTACCGTCTTTTTATGAAATTTTTCATTTTACGATTTTACTAAAGTATTTATTAACTTTTTTTAAATTAAAATTGTTCCAAACTTTAAAAAATTTTTTGTTTAATTCATTTATGGAGTGCGCATGTGTTTGTTTATTCTAATAAAATTGAAACTAAGAAGTGAATCGTTTTTTATACATATGTTATATAAATAATAACAGTTATGTTCAAGTTTATTACCAACAAGTATCTAGAAATTTTTTTGATGTTATACCAATTTTTAACGTAAAATTCAATTTCGTTACTTTTCAGTTTCTTTACACATTAGCCAATTTTTCAACGAAATTTGCAAAATCTTTTTTTTAACTTCTTTACCCCAGGAAAACTTACATTGAAAAGTAATGGGTTAAAAAGCTAATAAAACCTCTTTTCACTACTTCTTCATTAGCATTTTAAGTCATCATTTTAACACTGTGATGTCATTGGAGGTAAGTACTTCTACGCACGCTTACAAATAGGGAGTTAAAGAAGTACTTGCAATTGCTCTTACAAAACAGTTGTTGAGTAAGTTGTTTTGTTTTTTAATAATAAAAAGTGCCAGCTAGAATACGAACCAGGGACGTCGATTTGTTAGTCAAATGTTCTACACACTGCACCACTGCTTAGCTATTTTATTGAGCGTCAAATAATGGTTTTCACAAACAAAACTAATTTTATTTTATTTTTGGTCAAAACATAATTCTTAAAACGCAATTAAATAAAATGTGCAAACAAAATGACAAAGCCAAAAATAAAGTACTTCTATATCAGATTATAAGAAAGTCATTGCTAGAGTACTTCTAAGTAATGGAGAGGGTAAGTAGTAGTCATTGAAAAGTATGGAAGTACAACCCATTACCGAATTTTTGCTGGGACGTTATGAATTGACCTTTAATTATATTCTTAAATTTTTAACGAATGCACAGTGTCGGATTTTGCCAATTTAGGGGCTCAAAACTCAAAATTTTTTTGATTATTTTTTGCCTTTGTTGGAATTCAATATGAGAGACAATTGTCCAAATAGTAAAAAAAATATACTTTAAACTTTAAAGTTTAAAGTAAAGAAATGTGACCCAAAACAGAATAACGGTACTCTAAAAGCCGTTTTTCTTACAGAATATTAAAATCAATTTTTACCATCTGCATGTTTCCTAACTTTGAACTATTATAACTTTTTTGTTATCGAAGAGTTTTTAATTTTTCTTTTTGTCTTTTTTTAAACTTTTATTATATTTAATAATTATAATTAAATATAATAGCTTTTTTAAACGTATAATTGAGAATAAGGTCTCCACGTTTTTCAAAGTTAACCGTTAATTGTAAGTATATTTTCATGGACTCAAAAACATAGAATACCACTTGATTCTGGGGTTCTGTTGTACCCATATGATAAAATGATATATAATCTATTGAGATTATAAGGAGTGAGATCGAAAAATTCTTAACACACGTTTTTCATTAAAACTTTTATCCCAAGTATTACTTGATTATTTTTTACCTTTGTAAAATATGTCAGTTATTATGTTTGATGCCAATTATATTAATTAGTTGTTAATCTGATTAAAATGTGTAACCTGAAAAAAGTGCGTAGTAAAATTTTTGAATATTTTGAACAAAACCCAACTTGATTTTAAAAAAGTTGGCCAAGCATTCAAAGGTCTGCCGCCAAACTGTTTCCAATGTTATTAAACAGTACCGGGAGAATTTGTCCGTTGATAGCAAACCTGGTTTTGGTAGAAAGGAATGGTCCACATGAAAAATTAAAACTGTAAGTTTAGTGGTTTCGTTTTTATTAACATAGATGTACACTAGAGTGGGTCGGTCTCTATGGACAAAAAAAAGTTGTGTCAGTCACCCCCTAGGATTTTTTAATTCGACGTGATATTCTATGCGCGACTTCTGATATCTCAGATCCTTCCCCAAAATCTAAAATTAATGCTCACTTTTATGCATAAACACCTATTTTATAGATATTTAAAAATGTTCAAGTATTTATCAACCGTTCTCACAACAAACAATTAATTTGCCAGGAAAAACAGTCGAACAATTTTTAAATGAACTATGTAAAACAGAAATCCTTTTCATTTTTTCAGTTACAAACCATTTCAGATCCTACTTCCTTTCAAAATAGCAGAAAGTTAACTATGTATGTATATCCTAGAGCAGGGGTCGGCAAACTTTTGAGTCTGAAGAGCCAAAATTTACAGTTTACAAAACATGGGTTTTCAAAGAGCCACAAAATATTTGTTTATTAAAACATTACAAATACTTTATGAATTCACTTCAAAAATATATATTTTTTGTTTAATTATCTACAAGACGATTCTGCAAGAAATCTTTCTTATAGATTTTTTACTACAAACACTTTTATAATTTTTATGGGTCATTCGAATGCGTTTTTTAACACTTGTTATATAAATATATAACTGTTTATTAGAGTGGAGCGACAGTGATATAATTAGGCAGCAATCGAGATAAAATTTTGCACAGGTTTTTTTATACAAACAGAAATTATACTGTGATGTATTGCGGATATTGAACCATAATTGACCAACCCCAATAAGGTTCCATTCAGAAAATTACTCTAACGATCATAATTGACTTAACAGTAGCAGTATAGAGGTTTTATAAGAACAAAATCTTTCGACCAAATTTGAAGACGATCGGAACATAATTGACCAGTCCCCTTATATAAGGTCTACTTCAGAAAATGACTGTAACGCTCATAACTGATTTAATAATATCATTGTTGACCATACACCCATATAAATTCCTCTTCAGGAAATGACTTTAACGCTCAAAACAGGCTTAATAATAACAGCATAGTGGTGAAATTCGTCACAAGTTTATAAGAACAAAACTATCTGTACCAAATTTAATGAGGATGGATTCAAAATTGACCCTTCCCCCCATATGGAGTCCACTTTCGAAAGTTCCGACATACAACAGGCTAAAATACAAGTATAATGATGAAAATCAAAACAAACAAGTTTTATAGGATCCAAAACTTCATTACCAAATTTCGTAAGGATGGGTCCTTAATACGCTTTCTGGTCCCTTATTTATAGCCAAAAATTTTATGTCAAAAATATATCAATCTTTCATAGATCACTGTCATTAAATCGTGCAATATATAAAAATTTATAATTTTTTGTACCTTTTTATAGAAAGCGTGCAAAAAATATAAAATTCTTAAAAAAAGGTTAAAGTAACTGTATAAAAATTCTCCACATTATTAATTAATTACTATATTTTAAATTTCCAAAAATATGTTTTAATTCGAATAACACGAAAATTTCGGAATGTATGATCATGATTTACATCTTATCTAATGGCACCTCGTAGGATAACTGATATGATACCCCATTCGTTTATAGGGAACTTTTCAATAAACACTTTAAAGAATTAAACATTTTCTTACAATATTAACTTGTACATGGAACAAATTCAATGGGAGTGATAGGATTGTATGGCTTTAGAAAGCTTGGATCATAACTTGTTGTTTAAAGTTTCAAAAATGACTCTAAATTTTCATTTGTTAGTTGGCTTTTTACCTAAATCTTCCAATTCTCCAATACCAATACCAAATGGCTCAATGAGGATTTATTCTCAAATGTACGATTGTAAGGGCAAATAAAAGCAAGGAAATGAGCGAAAAGCTAATTGTGTTGTTTTCTTTCCTTCTCACTAGGGATGCCAATCGGGACTGGTTTTTAGAAATCCCTGGATTCGGGATTTTTAAATAAATCCCGGAATCCCGATATCGGGATCCCGGGATTTTCGGGATTTCTAAATCCCGAAAAATATAAAAAAAATTAAAAAAATCTTAAAATAAAACGTTTTATTTCATATTGCAATATGAATACTCTTAGTAGGTGTTTACCTTCCAATAAGCATTTTGTGAAAAGAAAAACAAATTAATTCAAAGTACATACTTAGAATAAAAATCTTTCCATCCCAGGCACTGAATAGTAGAATAACAACCTAAAATAATACCCATGATATCCGAATTTACAATGGTTTCCAAATAATATTTAAATAGTATGTGTAATGGGGATCCATACGAGGCTACATAGAGCACCTGTACTGCACCTATATCTCCTCCACCTTATATTCCGTGTTCACTAACCAAGGGAATTATCTTCTCGCCATCTTATTGACAGGTTGACTTCCATTATAGATATTCGATAGTATCAATGCCTATTTATTGCCCTTTTTATACCCTTAGTAGGGATGGTATATTGGGTTTCTCCGGAGTAGTGCTTTTGTTTTATACTGTCCTAAAATACGCTGATGAAATTTGAAATGATCGGGCTTTTGATCCGAGCCCCCATACAAAACACAGCTTTAAAAAAGAATTAGTGTCCACAATTCGCTTAAAAAGAGAACTGTCGCAATGAAATTCAGCATAAAACATTTTATGTAACCGTAAATTCGTCCTCCAAATTTTATGAGGATCGACTCATATGATGGCGTCCTTCCCCCAAGCATATTTCAGAAAAATAGTTTTTTAACAATAAAGTGCTAGAATATATCGGAGGCGAGGTATACATTTATTATGAAAACTAAATTACATTTTACTCTCATAACTGGTGTATGGGGTTATATGGTCGGCCTCGCCCGCCTATAATTTCGTACTTGTTATTTTTATATATCCGATAGTATCTATGCCTATTTAGTATAGCAATGAAATTTGATATTAGTAAATCCCTGACGAGCCAAAACCTCTCTACCAAATTTTATGTGGGTCGGTTCATAATTGACCCTACCCCCATATAAGGTCCCGTTAAAAAAATGACTTTAACGCTTATTACTGGCTTAAAAATA